CTACCTTCGTGTCGTCGTTCGTCGTACGTACTTATATATATATATATATATATATATATATATATATATATATATCGGTCTAGCCGACGCACCCATCCAGACTCCGCCGCGGTATAAAGGTCAAGGACGCCAGTAATCAAGAAGCTCGACAACATTCTCAATTGGGCGAATTTTCTCGCCTATGGACTAAAACAGATCCATTTAGGAGGTTTGTGTAGAAATATGGCCTCCGGTCAGTCTAAAATATCAAGATCAAATGAGATAACACATTGGTTTCTATTTGTATTTAAAGTAATTTAATACAAGTTCTTTTTCCAATATTTCCAAAGTGTTCTAAATTCACTTTGATGGCTCCAAAAGCCTGAGTATTTGGTATGACTCATTTACTTGGACCTATTTGAGACGATAGTAGATGTACGGTATTATAAACTAAATTTTATAATCTCTGAACTACTACTTACAGGTTTTGGTCTTCCCGCCAATCTCCAAAATCCAATACGTCTTTTTCTTTTTATAACTTTTCTTCGGATGGAACTTTATTTATATTAGCTAATGTATTAACTTGACTTGCGTTCTTACGTCTATCTACAAAGTAGACATGTGGTCATGAACACTTAGTGCTTCGAGTGAAATCATTCAATAAAGAACAGCTAGGGGTACGTCCTGTGTGATCGAGGATATTAAGGCTAATACCAAGAGGCAGTCCCGATCATTCTTACACAAGTTACCACTGCTAAATCCTAACTGACTTAAATTGTATCTTAGTTTATATAACACAGTTTAAAACATAGAAATATCCATCGAAGTTTACATCTGTCAGCAGAACATCGCGAAGAGGCCTATAAAGGACTCATCATTGCTGTGATTCTCGATCAAGGGCAGGTCGCTAAACTCAAATAGCTTCGCGTTCAAGAAGGACCGGACTTTGCTGCCACAATAGAGTGTCAGGTTCGACCCCAGCATCGGAACTCTTTGCTTATATCTAACCACGTACGTGCCACGAAGAAGCGTCTCCACGAGATAGACGACAAGCCAGGGGACAGAAAGGGCGGCAAGCCAAAAGATAAAGACGGCAAGAACGATGACAAGTAAGTCGCCCGCGCCCACTCCGCTCCATCAATAGGTCAGAAGTGTCTTAAGCACATGGAGGGAGCAAGGCGCCAACAGGGAGGTTCTGGAAGCAACCAAGTATGTCGTACGGCCGACTTAGGGGCCTCTGGGACCTCGTGACCAACCCAATGATCCAGACAGAGTTAACTGGCTTACAGACGAACGGGATAATCAGGAAATGCCAGGAATCAGAAGCGTATCTCGTCCATCCGGCATTTATGATACTAAAATCCGACGGAGTTCGAGCTCGACTGATACTGAATCCGGAGAGTATCAATCAACACGCCGACATGAAGAAATTCAGAGCCGAAGGACTCGAACGATTGGCAGAAGTTGCCAGGAGGGGGGATGTAGCTATGACCGCCGACATAAAGAACGGATTTTATGCATTCGCTGTAGCCAATCCCCGTCTCTGGCAATTTCGGACCACACCGGACAACTAAGGTGTATCCTCGCCCTACTGATGGGGGCATCCTTCTCCCCGGCGTGGTTCAATCTACTAAAGCATGTCGTCCGGAAAGCACTGCGATCATTGGGGATCGGAATTATATTATGTGGACGACCTTCTTCTCCTCGGCAGAACAAGACGAATCATACTACGACACCGCAGACAGGTCGTCCACCTGTTCAAGATACTAGGGCTGGAATTCGCCCAAGGCAAGGGTCATTGGATTCATCCAGTGACCCGCCTATAGCACCTCGGTGTAATCATCGACTTTTTCAAAAACAAAATAATGATGACCCAAGAATTCAAGGAGAAACTACTCCGACTCGGAGCAGCGATCAGAGTAATGGGACTCCAGAAACAGCGCAAGATCCAAATGAGACTCTAGCAATCGTACTTAGACTGCCTTCACTGGGCAGCCTTCTTCGTACTTGGCTTACGTCCATTCATCGCAGATCTGCAACAAACGACTCCTTAGACGCGCTCCAGTCATATTCGCCTATCAGGGGCCGCATTTCGAAAAATAGAGCGAAGGACATTGCTCATAGAGATTTACGAAACTCGACAAATCTAGGTCCCAGTCCACCAGGCAACGATAACATCCGATGCCTCCAAGACGGGATACGGCGCCACCTTACACTGGAACCAGGAAACCAGCACGTTCGCCGGCAGTTGGTCTCCAACCGAGCAACGATGGCCCATACCCGTTCTCGAACTAAAAGGTCTCATCCTGGCGTTCGAGTTCTTTCATCAACACCACAATACTGGATCGACGCCCCTCCTATGGCTCACAGACTCCACGACGGCACTACACGCCTTTCGGAAGCGACGCAGCCAAGCTCAGCTTATGAACGCCCAGCTGAGGAGACTCGTCTGGTATTGTCACAAACACAACACCCAGTGGCCAGTCACACTGGGTTACATGCCTGGGAAACTGAACCTGGCAGCAGATATTCTCTCGAGACAGGGCTCTCTGCTCCAATATCATTGGACTGTGACGTCATCCACTGTTTTTCAAATATTCAAACAGTGGCACATCACTCCCAGCCCACAGGATCGGCCGTATCCCGACTCCTATTACCTCAACAAAGCACCACGCACATGTGCGATTTGCTAATCCCTACCACTCGGAGTGGGATCAGACGTTGGAGCTACTGGCCCCTCTAAAACCCATGCTAGGTAAAAGATCTTTCAACAACTAGACCACCGCCTACAGCAAATAATGCTGATCATCCCCATATGAGAGAAGGCCATCTGGTGGCCTCACGTAGTACGTCACAGACAAGACCTCACCATCCTCGACCCAGGAGCCGTCCACTAGCCATCATCCATGGCTCAGGCATTAGGCCGCGATACACCCCGTGCTCGACTGTACGCAGCAATGCCCTACAACCCCTAAGACTAAGGCGCTGTGCTACGCTAAATAGCCAATGGGGGGCTTGCTCAAGGCATGCAACGCAATTAAGATATTGCGTTACAGTACTGGCAACGGTATGTCGAAAAGTATCACGTGGAGGCGGTGATTCCCAACAGAGACCAAATACTCATTTTTTTGGTCTACTGCTTCTACGAAGGATGCCACCCGAACAAGATACGGCAGTTTCGGGCAGCACTCAACAGTTCTGCACGAGTACAAGGCCTCTCAGTGATTTCCGACGATTAATGGCGCCAGGCCATCCAGGGATAGCTCCAATTTGTATTGGGAACACCACACTGCTACCGCCCCACGACTGCCGCCCCACGACAGTTAAAGATACTGGCCGACTGGATTGTCGTCCTTCTCCGAACAGAGGGACTCCGAGCGGACTGGCGAGCTCTCATCGCCCTCTTCTGGTTGTGCGGCGCGCGTCGTCACACTTCGCGCACCTTCGAGTTAGACTCCTTTACGTTTGTGCCAGAATCACAGTCCAAAATCATCGACCTCAAGAAGAAAAAGCGGGGCAACCGGTCTAAAGTGACCCTTCTGATCCACCGACCATTTGACCCCGAGACATTTGCGTTCCTCGTGGAACATCTTCCCGATGCCTTTGACAATCGAACAGGACATCCGGGCCCAGCGTTCGACTTAAACACGCCACCCGATGATAAATCCATAGAGAAAATCTGTCGATTCTTCATCCGCACTGTACAGCTCACGGACTCACGGCCCGGCAACATGTCACATGGCACTGTAAGATTCGGTCTATCAAGGCGATATAAACGCCTTAGAGTAATTAAACGCTTAGGTTAAGTCTAAGTATAGTTAAACTCGAAATAAATAAACGAAATGAGT